TTTATGGTTTGCAATTTCTCTCAATCTTCCTTCGATATCTTGTAATGACAGAGTGTCATTTGATTCAGCCCATTTAGTAATTATTATTTGCTCTTCTTCCTGTAAAACAAGTGTGTTGTTCGTAATATGAGGAGGTACATCTTGAGATAATAGTATTGGTAGATTTAGAATTAACTCAGGTTAGTATATGTAGGTGTAATTAAGTTTCATTCAGTTTATGCCATATAGGATGACATCACGGGAATGTGCTGTGCACTGCCCGCTTAATGTTAGAATTCCGGTGCCCTCGACTGTCAATTCTGGGCGATGATCACGATCACAAATTAGATAAAGTGTGAGAGGATCTCTAGTAAAATGTAGCCATTCCTGAGTGTATTTTAACTTGGTTCAATAGAATTTTTTCGAATTATGTAACATAATTTCACATTTTCTTAGAGCCTTTTCTGTAGGTGTTGCAAAAAAGAGAAATTTGCAAGTAGCATCGTCGATTTCTTCCATTATTGCATAGGTAAGTTCACGTAGTAGTAATCGAGCATAGTGTACATATTCATTTATGTAGTCTTAATCAGCTAAAAAATAATTTCCTTGGTGGTGGTTTATAATTAAATAGTCTGTTTTTGGCTTGATACTGACGTAACTTTGCAAGTTTTGGTGTACATTTTATGGCTTGGGTAGTAGATGCATTCTGTAAGTGCTGTATTTGTCGTTTTCGATTAAACGAAATATGATTGTAACTGCTAATCGTCCATCATTCATTACAGCCGTTGTACGGGAAAGCCATGTTATTTATCAACGGTAATTCGTGCTTCATCTATTGGTAGAGAATATTTGTTACCAAATGAGTAAATTTTTTTTACTATTTGACTTAATTGTTTGGATGAGAGTAGAAGAAGGTAGGGATGACCTTCGGCAGTAGTTTCGATTGTGTTGATTAATGTTTTACAAGATTGTACTATATAATACAAGAGTTCCTAAAAATTTATAACTCATAAGTTTGTAAGTTTGATCGTATGATATACGTTTTGTTTGTGACGAAAACATAAATACTTTCCGTTTTAAAATAGATATTGTTCATTCAAAAGCAATTTCTTTTCTATCGTTTGCGTCCATTGTTCCAAAAATTTTCTTAGACATCTATCCCACGAGTTTAAAAGGGGCGCCCCTTTTCTTCATACTATAAGACTCGGTTATTGATGAGTCAAAGACTTCAATAGTTAGTAAGAAAAATTTTTGTATCTCAAACTGTTATAAGTTTTATGTTTTTACGTAACTGTCTTAAGTGTGATAAAGGTATTAATTTTTCGCAATGGTTCGTACTCAGATGTTCACGGCAGTGATTTGACTAACCATATATTTGAATATCTAGTTTTTCGTTATAGTTTGTGTGATATACGGTTATTATCCATTGTGTACGAATAAGACAAACTTCATTCTGGTACTCATAATGAATTCCTGGATTGTTGGATATTTCTTGATTTTCATAGAGAGTTTTCGAAGGAAGGAGTTCTATGAAATATAATCTGAGTTCTTTTGTTGTGTAAATCCCATTATAAGTAGTCTAAGGATCATCTTGTCAAGATGTTAAGATTCCTAAAACATAAGGGAAATCTCATTCGTAATAGTGTTTCACTTTATCCGAATTTTTCATATTTATCTTCCCATTTTCTGATCAAAGTGTTATATAATTATTATTTTTATTTATATTAATAATTTTAAAATTCCGTTGTAATTTTTATCTACTTTTCCTTTCCGAGGTTCTTTTATTACGTAATTTTTCATACCAACTTCTAAATTCTGAGGTCTAATATGTTTATCATAATTTTATTTACATTTAAGTTTACATTTGATGAGCTCATCATGAGCTTTTTCCTGCATGTCTCTTAAATAACGGATCAAATCAATAAGATAGTTATTATAAGACTATTTGATTTTCGGTTGTATATGGATTTGGTGGGCAGGCTTTTCTGTCATATACCAATTTATATGGTGTAAATCTGGTAGCTCTATGCAGTGATGTATTAAATTCACATGTACAAAAGGTAAAACTTTATCTCAGTCCTGTTTAATTGTAGCTTTCGTTCGTAAAAAGCTTGCAAGCATGACATGGCTACGTTTTAAACAACCGTTGGATTGAGGATGGTGAGGTGTGGTGGTCTTAAGGTTGAAACCGAAAATTTGGGATAAATTGGTGAGTATATTCTTTCAAAAACTCTTTCCATCATCGCTGAGTACTATTTGAGGCACTTCATACAACGCTATGAAGTGTCTTGCCAGAGTGTCTGCGACTGTGATAGCTCGAATGTTGGGTATAGTTACTGCTACACAATATTTTGAAAATAAACATTGTATAGTTAATGTATGTTTGCATCCAGATATTGTTGTTGCTAACGGTCCTACAGTATCGACGGCTATTTTTGAGAAAATTTCAGCTGGAGTATCAGTTACTAGCATAGGTTCTTTTGTTCTTTATCCGTATAAGTTTTTGTTCTTGGCAAATTTGGCATTTTCGTACAAAATTTTAAATATTTCTTCTCACACCTTCTCAGTAATACAATTCGCGTATTCTTCTATAAGTTTTCTTTATGTCTCTTAGCCCACCAAAAAGACTATTGTATCATTCTATTAATTTTTGTTGTCTCATTTTGTTTCATAAATAAGCACATTTACTGAAATATACAGTTATTATAATGTTCACACGACTGAGTTTTTCATGAATGGCTTCGGACAATATTCCTCTGGGCAAATTGTCGGTTACTTTACTCTTTCTAGATATTCTCAATGTTTATATATTTTTGTTTTCTGTTGCTTTTACTAAGCCCGCTTAACACGAGTGAAGATTTTGGAGTAATATTTCATCTTTTTCTCTTTCTTTTACAACTAAGCAGAATACTAATTTATTTTTTAAGTGGTTGTTATTACGACGCCTACTTAAGGTTATGTTTTATTTAATTCGTATTTTGAAATATAATTTAAATCCAATAATAATTTATTGTTAGTAGAATTAAGTATCAAGTCGGCTGAAATAAACGTTGTAATTTTGTCTTTTGCATACGTTAAACATTCTCGTGTACTAAATATTTCGAGGTGATCCATTTCTGTTCTTATCACCTTATTATAGTGCTTTCTTTACGAGTGACTTGGTCATCGCGTTTAGCATTTCGTTGCTGTTCTGACACTTTAAATGTGGCTGTAGTACTAGTAGACGGTGAAAAGTTACTCTACTTCGGGGTGTAATACTGTTATATAAATGTGTCTCACTGCTTATCACTTGAACAAGAAGGTGTATAAAGTATACTATCATGCGTTCTTTTTACTCTCTTGCTTTTTCACTATTTTCTTGTTCAATAGTAGAAACATTAGGTTCTTTCCATGCAGTATCGACATTGTCACCTATTACGGTAGATGCAGCTTTAGAACGTCTTATAGATGATTTTGATCCTATTGGAAAGCTTCTTTCTTTTATAGAACTTTCACAGTCATCGGAATAGTCTAGTGAAACATTAGATAAAGTTTTTAAATTTTTAAAATTTGCTTCGGTCGTCTCTTGTTTGCTATTTTCTATTGTTCCTATTGTGTTTATCAGTTCTGGCAATGTATAATAATTCCAATATAAAGATAGGTCAGCAAAATTTGTATTTTGCAAACTATTAGTTAAAAGATATTGTTTGTCATTATTTTTGTCAAAACTGCTTTTCAACTCATCCTTATGCGTTGATATGCGAGCAGTAAACTGCAGCTTCTGATTTTGTTTTATCTAAGCAACCATTTCATCTAGTGCTATACTTAATGAGTCAGTGTCAAACTTTAATCCTACTGATTTTTGAAGTGCAGTTTCGATGTTTCCATTTGTTGAAGTTCCGGCAGTTAATGATTGTGCTAAGGGGTTAAATACTTCTTTCGTCACTGGCTCCAGTAATAGCTTCTTGTTGTGACTCATTATCAGTTGTGGTTGGAATTGATGATGAATCTGGTTTAGTGTTCAAGAGGCAAGGGAGTAGAGATTTATCTCTTTATGGTATCGGTGCTAGCTGATTTTCTTCATCTTCCGATGCATCTAGAATTTCTACGTCATCAGAGTCTAAAGTGGTTGTGGAATTTTCAGGAGGAGGTGAACTTTGTTTTTCTTGAGCTCTGCGTTTGAATAACCTTTGCCCTATTGATAGTCCAGTGAGATCTTGCCTTACATCAATTCCTGGCAGTATAATGAGAGGAGTATTTTTAGAGCCCTTTTTTATTCCTCTCCTTACCTGCCTCACCGTAGTAGGAGATTCGAGCTTATTTGAGCTTTAATTACGTTTACCACTGGCTTTGTTAGCACGTGCAATAGACGTTTTTGTTTGTAACGGGATTTTTAAAATAGGTTTTACAGGTAGCATACAGAACTGTGATGTTTTATGATCACTAGACTCGCTGTCGGAGCTCGACCTGTTAGAGTGACTACCGCTTCTGTAACTGCTGGATGTTAAGATTTTTCTAACTCTTTTACGCCTCCCTTTAAAATCTATATCATGCTTTATAGTACTTATTTTATAAAAATCTGCAGGGTTACGTGATAAAGCGACAGCACTTGAATTAAAACGTCCGGATTCGTACTTATAGGTGTAATTGTACCCGCGGAGATTCGCTCTCCATCGATTTAGGCGACTGATGAAGTCTCTCATTAATGTCAAAGGCTCTTGGTGTTTGTATACCTTAAATCTTAGTCGGTACAAATATTGTCTAAAATGTTGTACGGGGGCTATTACTGATAAACACTTTTTTCAATAGTGGAGTCATTTCTTTTGCAGTCATTAAAAGAGCGAGACATGTAGACTACAGGATGGTCTTTTCCTGATTTTCCTTAAATTATAAGATTATGCTGTGTAATCATGTAATACATCTTATGGCAGAAAACTTTAATAAATCGAAACATACAAAAATTTGACTGTAAAATCTATCTATTTATAAAAGTTTAAAAACAGTGCTCTCTAAAAATTTAAAAAGTTATACATTTTTTTTAGGTCAGAATGACAGTATTAAGGAATAATTTTGGAAGATGTAATTGGCTTGGAAAAGTAAGTTTTTTTCTTGTGACATTATGGCTTGTGACTATATTTATATCAACAAATTACATTTTACATCATAATTCGGGAGAGTATGAAAAAGATACCGAAAATGGTGAAAGACTACGACAACTGTCTAATAGTTTTCAGATTTTAAAAAAGCAGAATCTTAAATTACTTGGCATTATTACAAGGTAGGTTTATTTAAAATTTCTTTATACTAAAAGGTATAATATATGCTCTCAAAATTTTTATACAAGTAAATGATGAAGCTTAAAACATTTATTTCAATGATTTAACCTACAATAATAAAATAAATATCATTTCCAATATTACTTTGTTAAGTTAGTCAGTAACTTCTTAAAATTACCCCTAACTGTTTTTACTAATACACGAAACAAAGTCCCAAGTAATGTTTTAATCGCTAACAGCGAAAACTACTAAATTGATCTTGCTAAAACCCATTAACCAGGAATTACCGATCCTCTTCCAGATCTGCACTTAGTGAACCTAATAGCAAAACTATAAAGGAGAAGCAAACTTGAGCAAATGGGACAGTCTTCAACAAGCAAAAACACGAACCAATCTTCACCTTGAACCGCTAAAACGACTAAGTTTCATGAAAAAAGAACCTGCTTTGGATGTTTATGTCTCCTGAGTAACACCAGGAGATATCCAAACAGTCACATTTACTGGAAACTTCAGTCGAAAAAAGAGCTTAGCTCATCGGTCCTTTTTTGAGCCATCTTACCTGGAACTACCTCATCAACAATATATTACAACTTAACTATGTTGGCAAAAATAACCGTTTTTACGGCCCACAAAAGTTTTTAATAATGCAATAGGGTAGATGGGAAGAAAAACTTCAAATGCTTCAAATGTAAATTAGGCTTCGAGAAACTGACGCAAAACATTTATCGAGATTAGAACTACAGCATCAGAATCGACGAATAAATAATCAATTTTTATTTACCGCCATCTAAAACAACGTATATAATTTTTGAATAGTTAATTATTGTTGCTTAAAACTTGTAAAATTTGACTAACTATTTTTGAGGTTTCATTAAGAATCATTGAAGATGTATCCTAAATATACATGATCCTTACATATGTCGAAATTTAAATTATATTAAGTTGTACAACAATATAAACTGAAAAAGTATGGGCCTATATAGATGGTTTTTTCTTTAATTCATCTTTCAAAGCCTTATTACATCTTAAAGGGACTAAACTGCCGTGTCTCTTTTTCCAGTAAAATTTATAGTATGAAATTTGTGTAAAAATTAGTACAATGAAGTTAGACATATATATAACAAAATAAGTTTAGATTTGTACTCAAGAGTAAAAATAGCATAAAAAGCATAGTTGACAATATTTCTCCAACTGATATTTTTTATAATTATATTAAAACTAAATTTGTTAGAAAGCATACATAACTATCAATGTCTTAAAATGGAACTAAACAGCTATTATAAGTCGATATAATACAATTTTTTTGATAATTAGTCTTATAATTTTAATTTTAAAGCAAACCAAAGGGATTCTACGATGAAGATGTGTTACGTCACGTATTGCTCTAAAATTGTGTATATACTACTATTACAATTTCTGATATTAAATTGCCAAATCCTTGAATAATCATTTATTATCTATTGACTACGAAGGTTCTAACTTATTAAGTATATCAAAATGCTTCTAAAACAGATTTTTATAGTACAAAAGTTTATTAATTAGTCATAAATAAGTACATTTGATCTAAAAGTTACAAAGCCCTTACCTAAAAATTGTAGGTTTGGGGTGCCATACAGTAATTTCTAATTTTTTTAGAGTAACGTAACAAGCTTTTATTAACATTTGTTCAAAAAATATGGTAGCTGAAGATCATTATTATGTACATGTTACGTCCGAACTTCTACAAATAAAGGGTGGAACTCGTAGATTCGTTCTACAAACAAATAAATTTAATTATTGTTCGTGAAGAACCAGCCATCGGCCCAAAGGCCTTATTCGCCTCTACTTACTTACAGTACACTTTTCTTTTAAATCGTTGACTCGGCGTTATGGTGTTGGGTTTCAACAAGCGATATGCATGGAATGGCATACGCTAAGCTAGCGTTGATCTACTGTTTGAGCTCATGCCTTGTGCCATACAGGTCTAACGTATCTTCTTCATCGTTTGATTTCACGTCTTTATAAAAGTCTTTGACATACGTTGACTATTTAAATGTTCCTTAATATTCAATTCATTTATCAAAGTAGAAATTATGTGTCAATCAATTAGAATATTAAATCTTGGAATATTTCATACATTTTAGTAATTGAAATATATTTGAATTAAAAAAGTAAAGTCAATCAACAATCAAGTTATGTCTTATCTAATACTTTCATGAGTTTGGAAGAGCCGGAAGTAGTTGATTTTACAAATAATATAAATAATAAAGTTCCGATTCGCATTTACAATGTTTATACAACTTATAGTTTTCTTAACTTAATTTACTTCTACGATCGTTGGTTAGCCGCTACTTGCGCGCATGCAGTCGCAAGATCTTATAAAGACGACCGCAACGATAATCCAAATCCTAGACAAGAGTACTCGTGGCAATGACAATAGTTACGCTGCTGCTTTTAACGTCGGAATCTAAGTCGACAGTCCTTTCTTTCTTTTTCCTCCTTAATTCACCTTCTAGGCGAGTTTACAGTGGCCTGGTTTGCTCGAGCTTTTCTCACACAGCTTAATAACTGAACTAAGTCTTACATACGCTTAAAAGACGCAACAGAACTCACTCTTTAACCTTAATAGTTACTTTGGAGCACTGGATAAAACAGAAAAGGCAATAATTTTTATGTGCAAGAGGAGCGCGTGGTGGCTCAGTCGGCTAGGTCGTGGATTGGCACGCGGGAGACCGTGGTTCAATTCCCGGCCAGTGCGACTTTTTCGGGCAAGTACCTCTGTGATTTTTCACATGTGCTTTTTCACCTGGCAATGCTCCTTGAGGGGGGCTTAGGCGACCTTCTCGCAGCAAAAATTGCCTAGTTTCCCCCTACCCCCCTCCCAGTAATGGGAGGCCTCCCATCCCTCTTTCCCTTCCTCCTCCCAAGTGCTAAGTGCCCATAGTAGTGCCCTTATTAAAGGAACCGGACGTAGAGCACTCTAATATAAAAAAAAAAAATTTTACGTGCAAAAAGTTTTGATACTCTTGAATTTAAAAAGAACTCGTCAGGTTAGGGATCCGAACGACCAATCGGAGCTAAACCTTATTACTCTCGATTGACTCAAGCACAATCGTGGTGCAATAATTACGCAGTTATTGATGGTTAAAACTGCTCATCTCTTGGATTTCACATGAAGTACAAGTTGCTGTTGAAATTGTATTTAATATTTCTTGTGTACATACGCTGTAAAGAATATTAAAATTGTTGATTATTCACATTCTGGGATGTACCACTGCGAATGGATGTTGTAAGATAAGTGCTTTATAAGATGGTTGGAGGTTGCACGCGTAGTTCGAGTTTTGCTACAGTAGCTTATTTCAAAAGAAGTAAGTTGTATGTCACGTGATTGCAGAAGTTCGATGTATCGAGATCGCTGAGCTTTGGCTTTTTAAATTGAAAAACGACGCTTTGTATTCCAAAGTAATAAATATTAATTATATGACATGGGATGTTACATATACTCTAAAATTGTTTCAGATACTTTTTTTGATACCGAGCATTGCCCCTAAAAAATTATTTAAAGATTTTAAAAATTCTTAAAAAACGAATTACGACATACTTACATTTGGAAAAAAATATATCCTATTTAATGTGTATATCTAAAAAAAGAATTGCAAGTCCTTTGATATGCTGTAAAAAATAGTATGAACCGATTTTTCGTCCATTATAATCATATTTGGTCGGTGTGGCACTAAGATTGTTTGTTAAAAATTTATCTTTAGCTTCTTACCATCGCAATTAGTAGTCTAAGTTTTTTAAGTTTATGAGAAAAGGTGTACTTTGGGACAACCAATTTTGTTAATATTTTAATTAAAAAATTGTTATTTTTGTGTCAGTTTTTTTATGAATCTAAAAAAACCTAGACTACTGTCTGCAATAGTAAAAAAAAATTGAATAAAAACGTATTAGTAACACATTTGACTACACGTCTAACCTATAGAATCATGAGTTCTGACCCATAACTTATGTTAACACACTTTCTTAAGCATAAACATATAACTTTATCGAACTAAGTACCTTATTTTTTATGAATAGGGCAAAGTTTTTTTAAGAATACTAGAGCCTTAACGATCAATGTAATAAATAAAATTTAATCACACCATACACACACTTCTTTTGTGTTAGTGTTCGTAAATATATATACATATTAGTGAAGCATCGCCTTCCTGCGGACTTCGCGCCCCAACCCTCCACTATTCTACCTCAAAACAATTGTGTGATTTAATATAACTCCTTTATTTTTAGTCTTTAATTATAAATCACTTGGTTTCATACTTTAAGAAGTAACGTATATTGTTTACTTTGGAATACAAAGTGTCGCTTTTCAATTTAAAAAGCCAAATATTGCTCATTAATATTTTGATGAGAAGAGAGAGAATTTTCGTAACAGAAGTTAAATTAAAAAGTTTTGCAATGTATAATATTTTTGTAACAATTAAAAATGAAAACTACAATTTCCCTCAAAGTATTGAAAGCCATTCCAGGAACTAAAGTATTGCACTTTTTTCTGGTATGATAGCAGCATGAGTTATGATTTATACGAACATAAAGATTTCAGGATTATGGAAAAAGCGGAAGAAAATTACAAAAAAAAATTATTTTAATTTTATGAAAAGAAAGTTTCAAGATTATATAAATGTTACAATTTTTAATGAAAAAAAAAAAAATTCGTAGTCTCACAAATAGCAAAATAAAATTAAAAAGTAATAGTTTGAAAGAAAATGAGTTAACAAATAGAAAAGACAAAAAAAACTGTTGTACACAAAAACCAAAAAATTTTTTAAAACATGCTATCATGGTGAAGTTTTTCTATAAAAATAATGTCATCTTATATATAGATATCCTCTTCTATTATACAGTAAATGTGTGGGGCATGCCAAATAACCTTCCACTGCCCCTCCACTACTCCTCAAAAGACCTCCACCGCCTCTACACCATCCCCCACAATTTAAGGAGAAATTCGTCTCATTTCTACGTTAAT